CCATCCATCCATCCATATACCCATCCATCCATCCACCCACCCCTTCATCAATCCGCTTATCCAATTTTGTGGCTATATATCTACATCCATCCATCCATCCATCCATTTTTTTATCCATTTTACAACATACTTTATTCATATACTTTCATTATGAACACAGTAACTTATACTTTTTATTTTTTTTATTTTCTCCCCCAGGACTGTCCTTCATTAAGTGACCCTAAGTGTTTGGTTCAAGGTACACCATTCCATATACCAGAACCTCAAGACCTTACTCTGTAAGTAAAAGTAATACTATTATATCAAGCAATACCATATTTTACTAAAACAATCGTTAATTTTGTTTTCCAGAACAAAACCAAAAAAAACAAAAAACAAAAAAAAATTTCCAAAACTTTATGCAGATTTACAAATATCTACAATAGATAATAATTATTACAAATAGTAATTTTGTTTACCAGATCAAAAACAAAAAATAATAATTTCTAAAATTTTATGCAGATTTACAAATATCTCTATCTCATTTTTTCATGAAAAATATAAAGAAATATTCTGAGCTATAAAATGTTTTTTATGGATTGTCTTTCAACACTGTGAGTGCAATGGGTTGGGTCACTGGTTTGGGCCCTGTAGACACCACGATGGTGAAAGAAGAGAAGACTCCCATGTTGCTAAATATTCCCTGATGTTCACTTCACCTTTGGCGAATAATTGTTAAAGTAGTAAGGAGTGTGTATGGAGGATACACTGCTCACAAGCTTATGACTTTACTGCCTACCTTGTATGAATAAAAAGATTTTTTCGATCTTCAAACTATAAAAAATAACCTGAACTACAATTTTTTTTTAGATTTTTAGAATTATTTTAATCTCATTTTCCACAGCAATTCAAGTGAAGAAGAAGTGAAAGACACCTCGACAGATGAAGGAACAACAACTGAAGAAAATCCTAACTAATAGGTACTTAAACTGACAACAGATCCAGGTATAAAGTATACTAGGACTTTAGGAACCATTTTTATTTTGAATTACTGTAATCAATACTGCAGTCATTCCAATGAACAATGTCTGATTATATTATTTGCCCTACTTTTTTATTTATTACATTTTGTGGTAACTAAGATGTATTCTCATGCACATGCAAGTTTGTTAATTAGGTGTGTGTGTGGGGGGGTGCATCTGGGGGCTCTCATTGCCTCACTTTAAAATCATTTTCATCTTAAGAATTGAACATCATAGACCTGTATGGCCCTGCTCTTGCACTCTAATAAAATCTTTGGAAAAAGTCATGTGATGGGTGCCGGATGGGTTGACGTAAGCTGTCCCAAATTGAAAGGTTTCTTAATTGAATTTATACTATACCTGCTTTTATCTGTACAATACTGATTATCAGTATATTCCAAGTTATTTTTGCGTGCACAGATCATCAAGAGTTTTGGTCTTACAGAAAATGTATTGACTTTTTACCTTAAACGTCTTCAAGCTTCTATCTTTTTCTGTTTTTTTACTTCTTCATTTTATCTTTGGATACCAAACAAGGTATTTTCAACATTGTCTGATCAGCCTTCAGCAAAAATAAGTGGGTTTTTACCCTCTGGTTACCCCCCAAAGACGCAAAGCATTATGGGGATGTGAAAGTCGAGATTACAGTTGTAATTACAATATTTAGGTCAATTGTTGTTACTACAATTTATACATACCGTATATATATATATATGTATGCCATATGCAAAAACTCTGTATATTGCAAAATAAATAAAATAGATAAATAGACATTATTCCAGGTTGCCTGCGCGGTCACGGTTGTTTAAAACCAGCTGACTGTGAGCTGGCGGGAGACAGCTTACATTATCACACAGAAATCCCGAATAAAAAGAAAAAAACTATTTTACTGATTTCATTTTTGGTAACTTTATCCATTATTCATTAGACAACACGAAACTGATACGCTATACATTGTATCGAAATATGACCAAATTTGAATAAAAGCCAAGAATTTGTGTTTCACACGGCATTCATGTAAAGCAGTTATTCAAATTTTTTAAATCACTTATCGTATTTAATTTTGTGTAATTTTATATTTACGCACTTTTACTGATGAGACGTCCATCCATCTATAAAAAAAGGAATCTATTTATCATATATATTTATATATCAATAAACCTTGCAAGGGTGGATCCAGCAATTTTATCAGGGGGTCCAAACGTTCAGAGAGGGGGTACAAGCGTATACGTCGAAACAAAATTTACTTCAAACCTGTGACAAATTTTAGGATGAAACGATCAATTGAACATAAGGTATGACATTAATACATATGTATGGAAAAACCCCTTGTCACAACCTTCGCGATTCGTTGCTCTTTTATATATCAGACACAGCCGCAATGCCAGTGCTACTGCAGCCGTGGTCCCCAGGGTCCACCAGGACCACCCGGCCCACAAGGTACCCCCGGTCCGGCTTATCCCAAACAATCCATGCAGTGTATGCAAAACTCAACATAGATCAACAGATCCCAGTGCTCTAATGAATATAAAAAGTGGGGTCCCCGTAGTGGAGCTATGCTCTGTAGGGTTTCCCTGCCCTTGTGGCGAAGCTTATAAAATAAAATAATAAAATAAAGTGACAGGCTGTGCTTGTGGCCAGTGGTGTATATTCTCTCACCCATACTAGCTAGACATCCTTCTGCATAGATTACATTTCAGAGAAAAATCCAGTATAAAAGAAAAAAATGGGCTTTATTTTTATAAGATTTCAAAATACTTTGTTTTACATGGCTCGCTAACGTTGACACGTCAGTTTATTTTTTGTTATTTGTTTTGGTAAAGGCGTCTTGATGTGGGGGTGCCCACAAAGTCTAGAGTAAAGCGGCTTTGTACTTGGTTGGTCAGAGATCGAGAAGGGGTACCTATGAGTGTTTCTTGCTGTTCTTTGGGCATTGAAGGCTGGAGGACAAAATCACCTGCAAATTCRATTCAGTACACGACTGAGAAGATCGACCAATGAAATATCAAATCATTATGGATGDATGAATGAATGGATGGATATGGATGGATGGATGGGATAGGATGGTTTAGAATAGCTAGATAATGATGAGATGAACAAATTWWAAAAAAAAGTTTTTTTGATGAAAGAATATATAGATGAAAGGGACGGTGACGAAAAGGTAAAGCTCATTGCTGAATACGTACGTTCCGCTTGAAGAGCGATTCTYATGGGATTATCGTCGGGCATCGTCTCATTTCTTCGGAGCAAATCTACGTACAAACAAAAATAATGATTTGAATAAAACAACAGTTCCTTACAAAATATACAAGATGCTAAATTACGGGCAGAATAGTTTGATTCCACAATACCTGCTCCGGTGTCTAGAGGGAACTGGAAAGCGTTACGGATCTGGGAAGTCCTGGAGTCCAGTGTTCTTCTATCTTCGCTTTCCACCATTAGTTTTGGAGTGATAGATTTCCTGTAATAGTACGTACATGAACCTCATCTCAGTGTGTGTGTTTGGGAGTAAAGGTATTCTTTGAGGCGCAAAAGAACGATCAAAATCATGAAAGAACAACCGTCATTTTCATAACACTACCAACCTTCTTAATGTGTCATACATTCCCTAAGAATCAAACAGAGAAATTTTCAGCTATTCCAAAATATATTGAAGAATTTAAAAATTTTTTCAAAATATTTGCGTTATGATGTCAAAAAGGTCTTAAAATTTACCTGGAGTTTTAAATACTGTCTGTTCTTGTCTACCAGCTTTTCCGAGATTTCATTAAAGCGTGCTTTGGTTTCTTCAAGCTCCTTGGACTTGGCTAATTTATGGGAAATAATGAATAAATGAGGGAGAGTAGGCAACAAAATGAATGAATGAAGATGAGTGAATACCAGAACGGATGACTAAATAGAACGAATGAATAAATAAAAGGATGAATAAATGACCTTAACTCACCAGATATTTGGTTCTTCAAAGCTTTTTTAGTTTTACGTCAAAGAAAAATGCCTAAATGCCAGTTTAACGTTACCGCACTCTCAGATGACTCAGCACCCAAAAAGGTTAGATGCCACGCCCCATAGATAAGTTGGGAAGAGAGAGAGAGAGAGAGAGAGAGAGAGGGGGGGGGGGGGGGGGGGGGGGGGGGGGGGGGGGGGGGGGGGAAGGGGGCGAGGTTGCATGCACGAGGAGAGGGATGCTTGGTTTGGCGTTGGGGGGGGGGGGGGGGGGAAGGGGGCGAGGTTGCATGCACGAGGAGAGGGATGCTTGGTTTGGCGTTGAGCTCATGCACTACGTATGCTGTATTATTTTACTTGAAAGAAAGATACACGAAATCTCTGTCTGTGCTTTCGTGATTGTTTGTTCATAAAATTTCTCCATTTGCGACGYCTTTTCTTTTGAATTGTTTGCAACATACTCCTGGTAGGTTCGCTCTTGAAATATCTAGAAAGGAAACCATAAAAATGGGAAAATCATTTCACCAACATGTCTTCTAAGGATCTTATATTTTAATAAGTTATTTTACCTGGTATGTCCAAAAGGATAGTGCACGAGTTGCTATTTCCATGATAATCTCTGGGCGATGACCAGCAAGTATCATCTGCAATATCAATGTTTCAAAAACATGTTTGACCTTTGCAAGATAGAGCATAATAACCAAGAGAATGGCTTTGTCGTAATGAGAAAGATATGTTGGTCTSAACATTTTTGATTAATTTTCTTACTGATTTGTATTGTTCTGGTGGTTGCAATTCCACRCGAACCACGTCGTATTTTCCTGAAAGATTCGCTTCGCCTGAAAATAGAATCAAAGTTCATCACTTATTACACTGAAAATATTTTGATTTTAGCTGAAATTCATAGTTTCCACTGTTACAGCAAACACTTACAGGCTGGACAAGAGTATCCTTTTTGAAATTCTCTAGTTCCATCTTCATCACAAAATATATCTGTTTTATTGCTAAGGAATCTAAACAGCCTCATCATMAAGAACAACAGAAACATCAACTTCAAAAACAACAACATCCATAACAAGAAAAAAACAATTCAACCAACAACTCAAGGATACGTGAACATGAAGTAACCTGCAAAAGTAAACAAAAAGAAAAAGTTAAAACTCCGTATTAGCTCAGTTTTTATTTATCTAATATAAGCTTAACTTAAAGCTCTCTAATAACTTCTTATTTCTCTAATATAARCTTAAAAGAAAGATTGAAAACACTGATTAAAAACGACATCGAAATTTTTAGTCCCACACAAGAAAAAAAAGCAACCTACCCATCCAAATGTATTCACCCTTTTCCTACATTTTCTGAAATTACACAATAGGTCGTCTCCGGCTGCCATTCTTAAACTTTTTTCTATAGGAAAAACTGGAGAAGAACGGTTAAAATTACTTTATAATTTATTGAAGAAATTTAAATATATTGACTATGTCAAAGTTGAACCTTTTCGTAGCAAGAAGGACTGCAAGTAACGGTTCAAAAACGCGACTAAAACATCAAAGGCTTCAAATAAGGAAGCAATCTCAAAACCAGAATGATAAACAAAAGAGTGATTACGCTAATTTACCTTTTGAATGGATAAAAAACCAGTTAAATGAGAGTAAAAAGTTCACACATCTCTAAAAACTTTGTCACCAGTTTTGAAAATTCCGCCATAACAATAACTGCGCATGCTCAGAGGTACTATRTCCTTCCCAGAACCCCTTGCGATAAGAATAAAAAAAATTCCCATTTTATCGACCTGCATTTCATCCAACTTTATTTTTATCCCACTTTCTGTCACTTATTGAGTTKTATATTACTAAGAGTCTATTCAAAAAATGTGATCAATTGTGATCCATTTTAAAAAAAATTTTTTGTTTTGAATTAAGGGAAAAGAAGTAGGTATCAATTTTATTACTGTGTCTTAAAAATTATTCATCTCCTACTCTGTARCATGCGAACTAGTACCGTAAGATATTTATCATAACTTTCAAGCAATTTAAGCAAGTAGACGAACAACCAGAAACCGGGTATGCAAAGAAAGAAACAGGTTTATCTTGCTTTATCGTAGTTTAAAGTCTTCAGGAATGAAACTGTGTACAGAATATTGATTTATTCGAGAAGGAATTATTGTAAGAAAAACCTAATTTGATTAATATAAAGGATCATGAATGCACCTAAAATGAACAATGCCTCCCCGATTTTTCATTCGACTCGTTGCGGATTTATTACGGAATATTTCAAATGAGGTCAAACAGGTATGTATTCTTGGGGTTCCTGTTATATTGCTGCACGTGAGGTCCTGGATTGGCATCAATGAGTTTCTTATCAAGAGGGTTGAGTGTTTGCAAGACTTTAGTGAGATTTTCTTCAAAAAACATCATAATGGCACAAGCATTTGAATCTGGAGTCTTTTCTGCTGCTTTCATAACATGTCCTAACCTTGAAACAGCCAAAGCATTAGCTAGGTAAGCCTGTAAATAGACGATAATGCCCAAACAGCTGACAAACATCCGCATTTTGTGGCGCAGGAATATCGTCTTCTTGAACGGAAATTGCAACTGAAAATTGTCAATCTTTCGAGTTTGWGGTCATTTTATCCTTCTCAAAAGCTTAATACAAATCCATAAACTTAATAGAACTCCATCTGAAACTTCTTTAGGACCTGTACTTGTAATCCATTGTTTTAAACTGGAACCAACTGCGAATTTATGACACGAAATTCTTTCGCCCTAGAAACATGTGGGTTTTCTTTACATTCTCAATTTATTCCTAAAAATATTTATTTTTTTGTAAACGCTCTTATCCACCCAGTGATATGGTGAATGCCTTAAATATCTTTAGTTTTAGTGGTTTAGGAAGGGTTTTTAGAAGTAAAGCTTTATAAAATTAAGAAAACAAGTTTGTTGAGCTGTCAAACTTGATTTTCCAGTACATGAAATAGCACCGTCGACTTAAAAAATAACAATGAGATTAATTACTCAACTGTGAAAAAAATACGTKTTAAGATGTTGTTTACCAAATCTGGCCCTTAAGCTCTTAAGAAATGCAATAAATATTGCAGTTGTTTCATTAACAAGCGTTTTTAAATTTCCTACGTACGTGTATACAATTGATTCCATGAATCTACGAAACGAAATTTATATAAGAAGAGCAAAACGCTGAGGAGGTAAGGAAAACCTCGATACGGTTTTGGATTTATGCATTTAAGGTTACAAATGTTTCGAGTTATGCACTTGACACACCCATGTTTTAAAAGCCACGCCCACACTGACATCTGTGCGTAACTCGATGACAAACATTGTTGAAATCGCTGAATTATTTTTWTTTTTCAACTTACACTATTAAAATGATTTTATGAAATTTAATGCTTGAACRAATTTATACATTTTTCATAAAAGTATATTTTATGTGTTCATCACTTGTTATTGAAAAATTAATTTTTGTACAAAAATATTTAAAGTACACTTTAAGTTTTTTCTTTTCTATAAATTAATAATCTTGACYGTTTAAAAACTCCTCTCTTACTTTGTTTTCACTTTTTTGTAATTTTTGGATGTCATAATTAGTATAGGAAATCGTATGACCCCAGGTACAATTCCAAATTTATAGGTACCAGTGATGTTTTGAAAGTTTTCAAAATTGGACAAGCCATTAATAAGGCAAGGCCAATTTAAGAACTTCCAAAACATCACAAGTGTCTATAAATCCCGAATTGTTTTGAGAACATTGTCGATTTTTTGTTTATAATACTCAAAATTRAGGCATTTAATTGGGACTCTACAGAGTACAATTTGGGATTTGTACTCCTCTTGTCCAATCAGAATTGAGTAATTTTTGTTGAGTGTATTATAATACTGAATTTTTTCCAGGTTTTATAGTGTGGTGAACGATGCCGGTTGGCCTTGCCAAATAATTTGTTAGTACTGGAGGTTGTATCAATACCATTTCCTAAAGGCTGTAATAATGATAGGATATGCTAACTTTCCCAGTAGACTGAGACAGTTGGGATTTTTTTAATCCCCTTCGTAGCATCTGTTATGTTATCCAGAAGTACATTCCAAATCAACCACATGATGCCAATTGTACCACATGTACAAGTTTTTTTACACCAAATGATACAAATGTGGATATTAAGAATTTTTGATTTTACAGGGGTATGGTTGAGCAGAATTTGGCCGCATGTGTCAATGTCATTCCTAACATAACATCAATGTGAGTTATATTTTATTCATTTATCTATTTATTTAAAAAAAATTTTGATGAATTTTTGCCAGCATTTTGAGTTTTTATCCCCATTTATAGCTAATTATGCATATGATATCATACTACCATCAATAATTCATTGTTAAAGAAATAGAAAACRTGCACRTGTGCTGTGTATAGTTAATATRAGGTACATAGGGATTGACAGAACATAAGAGAAGTGTTAATGAAGCCATGACCTAAGTATTGAGTGTTTTTCAACACTTCTCGAGTGTTCTGCTAATCCCCAAGTGCTTTATAACCCACACACAGCACAGCAAGCAAGTCTTTTATTTCTTTCATAAAATGAAAATAAGAGTAACAGATATTTTCAATACAAATGAYAAAATAAAAAGTATGCATGCATGCTGTGTGCTTTCATAATGCACTCGTTCCCAACCAATGAGARTGCAAGATTAATAACAGGTATTTAGAAATAATATTTATGGTGTTTGTTTCCTAGTTACACCTGGGAAAACAAACTTGAAGAAGACTCGGAAGTATTGCTGGTAAGTTATAGTCCTTATTTCTCATGTTTTTTAAAATATTTAATATAACCTTGCATGTTTTTTCTTCCTTTTAATATTTTAGCATACATTATAAAAATRTTCTCGTTACACCTTTGGCCTGCCTGTAGGGATGCCACTGAGAAATCYCATTATTTATTTATTCATTGTGGCTGCGTTATTAATGTATGGTAGAGGGGGGGATGGAACAGGTGAAAATTTGAAATGTCCAGAATAATTCTTAACACCCCCCATTAAAGTCATGCAAAAAAATATGATCCCCCCTAAGCAAGGCTTGTAGCTTCTTCAAAAAATTTAAATTTCTGATAAAAATTTKCCCATCCCCCTTTTTCCTACCAAAATTTTCCCGATCCCCCCTCAATTTCACCCCCCCCCCATCTGTCAAACATTATGAACACAGCCTTATTTACCCTTTTTTGTTTTCTTTATTTTATCTTTTTTTTAAGATGGTCAAAACAAGAAGCACCAGAGTTCCTGACATCTCTGATTACATCAAGTATGAACAGTTATTCTCCATATCAGGCATTTGTGTCAACTTTTCCTTAAGTATTATTATTTTATGTTCGCCAGTAAAACTTGATATAAAACTCCCACAGATGATTTTATTCTCAAGCAGCGGTGCAACAAAGGGGGGCAACTTCCCCAAAACATTTGACTTATTTCCTATTTCATTGGGCTACCTGTGGATTTGGTTTGATTGGCACATGAGCGCACCCCTCCAAATGCAAACAGTTATTTCATTAGTTTATATTTACGCTCCACAAAATTACTCCATTCTGATGGAAAAGGAGGTACAWTTAAAGGCTTGTTCAATTTTGAAAACTTTCAAAATATCACTTGTACCTATAAATTCTACTCGAATTGTACTCGATCGTGCGATTTCCTTTACAAATCATCAATGTACTATACCTCCAGAGGTGGGCTTATATCTGGAGTGTGGAGTTATAATAAAGATATTTGCATTACAGTAGCTTTTGCTTTCAGTTCAACCCCACTGAGTTACACCAGTACTGTCTTGCAGTAGTGATTAGCAATAAACTCAGTTAGCAGAAAAACTAGTAAACAAAATAACTGGGAAAGCCAGGGCTTATAACTAGGATTTTGAAGTAATGGATAGTTTCAAATTTAATCATTAGATTTGCTTTTTTTATAGAAAAAATCATCCATATGATGTTCCAGAAGTCATAAGCCTCAAGGTGTGTAACACAATCAAACGTATTAGACTTGTTGGGTTCCTTCTGCTTTCCACCTTAATAACTATGATGGTTTATTCTGGGGGGGGGGGGGGGGGTAAATTTATTAAGTCTTTATTCTTTATTCTTGCTCCAAGGGAGGGGTGCTAGCCTAGCCACCCATCCACCCACCCGAGTGAAAGAGCTCTTTAGAAAAATCATTGTGCTACAAATATCACCTTCATTGCTCGACACTAATGCTAGACCACAAGTCTAGAACTAATAATTCTTTTCTCTTGGCTTGTGAAAATTAGGACTCACTCTTCTAAGTACTAGAGGGTTTTTTGGAGTACTGTGCTAATAGATTACTCTGCTGGGGCTTCTGGATTTATAGAATTGCTAGCCCATGGTATATAACTTTAGTATAAAGTACTCCACACCCCTAAAGTTCACCTGAATCCAGTGCAGTCATCTATCTCCTGTATCATCTTACGCTACACTTCATTACTCATTTTATTCTTCTTACATTTTCAGATTGATCAAGGAATGCCATCATATCTGGATTTCCTCGATAAGAAAACGGTAGAGAAAACAACYGAGTAATTGATCAAGGCAACAGGAAAGGAAAAACTAATAGATTGTATTAGTGCTGCTTGGAGACATGCCTGCCTTGCATGTCTGACCAAGACTTAATAGATTTTAYGAGCAAAGTTTATAGACATTAATCAAAGACGTTTAATTTAACCATCACATTATTTTAATGCTCCACAAATGAAGCATTTACAGTGCGACACACCCTACCTTGGCCACCCAACTTATTTTTTTACTAGTTAGCCAATCAGACAACAAGAATTTGTGCATTTGCATGTCATACTCTTTGCACTTAACTTAAGAAACGGCTAGGAATTAACTTAAGAAACGGCTAGGAATTTGCCTTGGGGAAGGGATTCACCAATATTGGTAAATTTATTCATTGGGTGGCCACAGTATGGCACGTCATGCTGAAAAAAAGATGAAAAGTAGTTGGCAGTTTTAAAGATTGTTATCTGTTTGTAGGGTATATTTGATAGTTCAAAAGAAATAAAAGTTCTCAAAGAAAATATTGACTAAGGAGTTAGAATTCAACATTCTAACTACTTTCGCTTGAATTTTTCATTTGAAAACGCACACTTTTGGAAGCRCTTTGCCCTTCTGTCTACACTAAAATAGTCAGAAACCCATACATTCTGGTAAATATTTTTGAATTCTGTTTAATATATTTTATTCGTTCAGGATTGATTTCTATACGTTTCGATGGCTGAGAGAGATTTTCACACTGTGATTGGCTGATTTGAGTGGTTGTCATTTCGTGCAGTTTATTAAGTTCCAAGATTTTCAGCCATTGACTTTGATCACAAAGCACCATGTTTATTCCCATAAAAATATAAACCTTTTGTTTAAACCTGTGGATGCTCTTTCTAAAATTTAAAATTCAAGAATGGAAAGCCATGTGGGAAAGTCTATTGTTCAAGAAAGGCCCATACTAAAATGACTCTAACTTTAATTTGAGCTCCTATGCTATACCTTGAGTTTCACAATCCATGGGCTAGAATATCTAAATTTTAATTATGGAATAAAATGAATTGTAGAAAAAATATCAACATTTTAATCAATCCTAGTTTTAATAACCAGTATACCTAATGTTTAGATTTTTTACCATTCACAGAGGTTATGTTTCCTAACTGTAATTCTGTACAGATATTTGTAATGTCAATCAGAATATCAATTTAGTGTCAGTCCAATACAGCAGAAATACTATATTCTGCTTCTGCGATATTGGAAAGAATTTGAGAACACAATGCATCCTCTAGCCCACTATTAAATTGTACGATCACTATCATAACGACCTATTGTAAACAATAAATTTATTTTTTAAGGTTTTAACCAATACCCATAAAAGAATGAAACCCTTGAACACCTTTACATATAAAATAATTTTTGGTTTTGGATAAATTTTTCATTAAAATGCCTTAATAACTGGGATTTCATGCAAAAACAAAACTGCCCTGCTAGTTGAATCTTGAATGAAAATAAAAAATATTCATTAATTCCTTGATTGAGTCCCACTGAAGCCTGTACGTTGTTATGATGGTTCCTCGTACACAATTGAGAAGGACTGTAAATGGTATACCAACCAACATGGCAGTCCTGTTTTGTCATTTCATTTTCTTGACTATGAACAGGTATAAGTTTGTAAATCTCTCATTACTTTGAATTTCTGGCTGTGAACAATTCATTGAATATATTTTTCTAGGTTCTGACTTGGAATCTTCCTGCTTTGGTTACATACTTTACTCCTTTAAATGGCTTGTATTTCTTAAAAAAGGAGAAAAATGAAGAATATTATTAATTTTCATGGGGGAGGTATGGATATTTCCAGGAGCTAAATATGCAATATACACTCTCTATAGACCCTCACCACTCCATGGAATGGTATGGATATTTTCTGGAACTACAAAGTAGACCTTCACACCCTCTCCATCACTACCTTGTCAACACTAATCCCCTCCATGGAGGACGTATGGATATTTTCTGGCACTACACCAATACACCCTCCTCAGACCCTCCCCATCACTTGTAAACTCCAATCCCCCKTTCCTGACATGGGGTGGGGTGGGGTGGCGAGTTGGCTTGGATATGGACTAACACCATTCAATACTCACCTCTCCATACAAGTCAAGTCTGCTAACTTTGATGCCTGATGCTGCTAGTTGTGGGATTCTGAATGCAACCTGTTGTTTATACAAGAATAATGTAAGATACTGTATTGKTCCTACATGTATGTTTTGTGGTGGTTGGGGGGGGTTGTGGTGAGTAGGCAGTGCTGGTAGAGAGAAGAGTTGAGTGAAGAATTGTTGCATAAACTTGATGTAATCAGAGCCAAACTTGCTAGCCAAAGTCCGTAGGCAGTCCTTTTTCTTAACTAGATGCTCTTAACCAAAATACTTACAGATATCGTAGTAGATTCATCTGGAGGAGGAACACCAGTTTGTAAAGACATCTGTAAAATATAGGGAAAAAATAGAATACATTAATGAAAAAGTCACAGTTCAAATGCAAATTTTGAATGTAATTTATAGTCCTTTACTTACACTTCCTCTTAATATTGGTAGCTTCTGAGGTAGAATTTTACCAACCTGGAAAAAAATCAAAAGATAAAAAGACATATTTAGCTTGGGTGTGATATTTTCCCATTTAAAACCATGTCATTCTATTGTGATAATTATATTCTTTGTTTTTGCCTGAAAAMCAGTAAGAAGTAGAATTATTACTTACATCCCACTTAAGTTCTTTCCTGACAGGATCAAATGTATAGTTGCCAACTAAAATTGGAACAAAAAAATGAAAATAATAATTTTTAGCATTAACAATAACCATCTACAATATAAAGAAGTTAAATACAGCCAACAACAAAATATTAAATATTGAAGTGTAATCTTACCTGATGGTGACAGGTTGACATTTAAGACTTGCTTTGGAAATGGGACAGTGATAACAACATCCTCTACCTAGAGATATAATAGGCTTYTTATTTACTATAATCACAAATAAAGTATACAGAAAGATGTTAAGATTAAGGATACAGGACTAGTGTACAGGGCCCAGTTGTTCAAAGCCCAATTAGTGCWAATCCTGGGTTAACTCTTAATAAGACCTATAGAGTTAATCCTGGATTAGCGCTAATCCAGCTTTGAACAACCTAGCCCAGGGCTCAAAATAACAGCTGGACATTAGAAAATGTCTGCCGAGAATTGGAAATTGTCTGGTTAACTCTTTGCCTTGTCWATCATTTACACCAGTAATGTCAAGTCAGACACGAGGTATGACCATGGTAAAACTAATTTGGCCTGTCATAATGACCAGCAACATACCAGCCCTGGTGTACACATAAAACAGTTGACTCACCACTTTTCCCATGGTCTGTTTTGGTCCTACTGTCAAGTCAAACCTTCCAGATCCTCCCTGATAAGAAAACAATATGGCATCCTCTCATTCTTTCTTCCTTGCTACACATTAAATTTCAGGGGGCATGTTGCATGGGCACGATAGTTTATTTAATATAATTTGTCAAGAAAATGTTCCATGTGCATGCAGTGAAGGACATTTATCTATTGTGTTTATATACAACGTTCAAGAGTCAACTACTTTAAAATGGAAGGGATYGAATTCATTAAGTGTGGGATTCAATGCCTTACCTCAGAGTATGATATTTGGTGTTTAACATAAACTGGGATTGCCATAGAACTGTAATAAAAGTCAGTAGTAAAATTATTTAAACAACTAATTGACATCAGATTTTTATGTCTGTCCTGTTATTGACGATAAACTGCGTCATCACATTGCCAAAGTAGTGTGGATTTACGACGCATGGCTGAATGGATCCACATACTACTTTGACAATGTGATGACAAAATTTATTGTCAATAAGAGGACAGGAACATAAAAATGTGATGTCATTTTTTTTACAATTTATAACAAAAACAACAAGATAAAAAAGTCTCTTTTCTAGCAATCACAACAACCAAAGGAAAGAGTGTGCGCTTGATGACAACAGCTTTATCTGTCTGTCCTTTTATTGATGATAAAATTCAGCCAATCAGCACATGAGAAATTTGTAAGTTACTGTAAAACGCCTTATTTAGTTTAGATAATACATGAATTCAAGTAGTATAATTTTTGAAAATGGGGTTTCATGGTCATTGGTCTGGTTTAAATGTGGAGGAAGGAAAACTGTTGAACCCAGAGAAAAACAACAATTGATCTAGATTTTTATCCAAATCTTTTAGAAGACAGTGTTTTATGATCATTGTTTTCAGGGCTGTATCCCTGTTTCCTTACCCAGTTGTGATGTGGTASGACAGCAATCTGTAGCTCCCATCAGGAGGAACAAATGATAGTACTTTCTCTGACTGCAAAAGGTTTAAAATAATTAAAATAAATATCAAGTTGTTGGTAATTGTTTATTCACCATTTTCCATACATTGGTTCACTGGTCAAACACAAAGTGCTCAAGCGAGGCACCAAGATACTTTCAAAGGATTATTCAAATTTGAACCATGCAACCTCGACTGAATGCTTTGTGTATGACCAGTGAACTGATGTATGGAAAACAGTGAATAGAGTTAGCATAAAAAGGGAATATTCATACCTCCCATCGTTTGAATCGAACACAAGGGTGAAAGCTTGGATCATCTAGAAGTCGTGGGTTGACTAATGACATGGTCAGATCTGTTGAAAAGAAAACATAACTTATGACCAAAGCGTCCACCAAATGGGAAAGAAAAAAGAAGAATAAGAAGAACATAAGTCATGATGAAATCAAGAGATTTTTTCTATACCTGGCATTCCAGACAGCTTACAAACACTATCAACCTTCAAAAAAACAACAATCAATCAATCAATATTGTGAAGGACTGCAAACTACTGTATCCATAAGTCAAGCCAATACTAGTCCTCTCCCTTTCCTCCAATCTCCCCCCCCCCCCCCCCCCCCTCCACCAAAAGTGAAGAACTAATGGCAGTTCCTTCTTCACTTAAGGCATCTTGTACACTAAAGTGATTATTAATTACTCTCTCAACTGCTTGGAAATTTGACCAAACTATGGTTGGGAGAGACCTTTGGAAGGTACTGTTAAAATATACCCTCATCTCTCCCCCACCCTTACGCCATGGAAATTTGAACCTTCCTGAACAGGCAGGTAAAATTGATTATCTTTAAAAGCTCTCAAAACTTACCACTCCTTGGATTTCAGTAAAGACCACAGAACCCTGACGAAAAACAAAAATGGTCACCTTTAGTAAAATAATATTGAAATGCATGTACATTAGTCTGAAGACGTACAGTACAATGCAACTCTTCCATAAGGCTTCTTCTTCAGAAGAATGAACTAAGAAATGGATTATGAATCTCACTTACATTTCTGTCAATAATGCAATCGATCTCTTCTATTATGTCAAAGTAAATCTAGGAATGGAATTTGCAAATGATTTACAAAGCTTATATTAAATAAAATTGTAATGAAGGTGCTAATTATTATACAAAACAAAAGTGGACAATCATAGCAAAAAAAGAAACAATCTATACACCTAAATCCAATGGCCAGTTGAAAACGAGGCATCCAGGGCCAAATTTACAGTATTTCCTTATGAATTGATGCTGCAAAATTGTCACTATCGCTATTCGTCTTTGCATCTACGACATATTATTTTTTTGCATTTGGCCCTGGATGCCTCATTTTCATGTAACACAATCGGCCGTGCGTCATTTTGGATTTAGGTATATGCTACCTCGTTATTCGTGTATTTCACTCCAGTTCTTCTCCAGGGCACATTAGATAACTGACCAGTCGGCAAGTGTGTTCCAACACTAGACAACATAAAACAGAGGAGTAAGCTAATTCAGTACATAACAACTGGTATTGGGATTGGTACAGGGTCAAAAACTTACTGTGATGATCCAGTAACTGTATTAACCACTTGTCGCACGATACTTGGGGGTTTGATAAGCTCCTTTAAGATATTTGGCTCTGTTGCTAGGGGAAAACCATTATCAAGCATCTCTTCAAGTAGCTGGGARTTTAATATTTTGATTCTTTTATTAGTAGCACAATAGATATATTTTACTAAGGAGAAATATTTCTCTTTTCAAATGTGATCTCTCCAATCCTGTGGTCTCATCCTTACCTCTCCCTTACCTGATAGACTAGGACTATAGGGATTTTAAGTTGTGACGTATTTCCGGGTCCAATCACAAAAAAAGATCGCTAAAATCTTGCCACAACTTATTCTGAGAATTTATTCTCTACCTTCAACAATTAGGTATTTGAAMAGAAAATCCTGCTATGAAGAAAAAACACAGAAAAATGTCTGAAGAAGTAATTATGAATTTGGACCCGGAAGTCGTTTTCAATGCTGATTTACGTCACACTTAACAGCTCTATAGATACAGTACACAATCACAATACTTTGTTCTACAGAGGAGAGATATCCCTCTTTTACCTCATAGACTATGACGATGTGCTCCTTGATTAATGATTCATTGCATTCATGGAAGTAATCTTTAAATATGTCCACAGCTCTGTGAAGGAACTCTATTACAAACAGGGGAGGAACTAAAACAACAAATAAAGAAATGTCTGTCAGACTAAATGAATGAATGAATGGATGGATGGATGGATGGATGGATGGATGGATGGATGGATGGATGGATGGATGGAGGGAGGGAAGGATGAAGGGAAACCTGTGAGTGATGGATAATAKWATTACTGATAATWACTCTTYKATACTAACCTTCTGACTGTACAACAGCCACAAAGAACAAATGGTTTCTGTAAATACTTATCAGGTAATAGTGAGGTGTTGCAATAACTGGAGGAACATCCTCTGGTGCGGATGCCTGACATAAAAACAGAGGCAATATATGTATATATATCCACATTTACTATATACAATAAACAAAATATACATGTATAGCATATAATATATGCATGCAGCTGGATTCCTATCTCAGATCACTTGAAACAAGCTAATATTATAAATTTTCTGACCTTTGTTTGTGCTTCAAAGAAATGGTCACATATTGATCTGCTGATGACACTCTTCCAGTGCTTCTCGACAAAAATATCTCTACAAGAAAGTAAAAAAAAACATTACTTCTAAGAGTAAATTGAATAATCTACCCCAAAACGACCATATATAGAAATATATTTGAAAAATAATCCAATAACTTCTGAGAAAATTATGTTYAACGATAGGTGCTCTGTAGTGACGACGTACAGAAAAATGCCAATTCAAGCCATTTTTTTCTAAGAAAAAAGTATTTGAAGGACGCAAATGTTTTTATCTAAGGGGTTTCAATACCTACCCGGTGTTATTAATGATAAAAAGGCTGTTGATCATCGTGAAAATCCCATCAAAGTTTCACTTCCTTTGGAACTTTAGCTTTCCGTGGATTTTCAAGATGGCGAACGACTAGTGCCCAGACTCTYCGCTGGGTCATCCCCAGACTCCTGCTGCGTCCACGTACGCGCGGGCGCGCGTTTGGCCAACATATTTTTGAATCTTTTTCTGCACTTTTTCTAGATGCAGTTTTGCGAAAAATAAGTTTAGAGAAAAGTTGAAAAAAAAGAAAAAAAGATTCTTATGAGCATAAGGTGAAAAAAGAAAAAGAAAAAACACACGTCCAGCAAARAAARAARARRAAAAAAAAGAAAGAAATCGATTCCACTTTGCCATACCCCCGAGACATCCGCAGAGCTGAGGCGTCGTATGGACTTCGGACCTGACGGCGATTAAATCCTTCTGCCCTTGGGTGTACGAATTACGCAAGAAAATGTTCTAGCCGRAGCATCAGGGGAGAGACCAGCCGGCCCCCAGACCATAAACAGCTAGTCCCTTGCACTCTGCAACGCACGGAATCTGAGAAAAACTGATGTTAAAAAGTCTAGTCTATTCGGTGCATTGTTTTCTCGGCTATTGTTATGCTAATTTCATTGAATCGTGGCCGAGTGGGTAAAAACTTGGGCGTTAGAATAGTCAAGCCGGTTGAGGGAGGTTAGTACTCTGATGGGTGACCTAATGTTTTACTCCTGGTTTTACCATATGTACTCAAGGTAAGTATTGTTCTTTTTTCTTTTCTTTTCTTTTCTTTCTTTCTTTCTTTTTTCCCCCACGATAGTCGATTCCACGATGTGAATTCTGCGAAAATTAAAATCTGCCAGGCAAAAAAAAAAAAAAACAAAACAAAAAAAAAACAAAAACGTTTTTTTAAGTGCCACCCAAGGGGGAGAGTTACTTGTGTTTTGTGCAGAGAAAAGACAAACATGCTAAAATTTAAATCTTTAAAACTATTAAGTTTAGGTATCAGCATGAAGTTTCTWTACAAAAACAAAATACTTTAAAACGATTTTAGAATTCGTTGTTTTAGTTGAGGAATCGTCCCGGAAAATTAAAATTAAGCTCCAATCGCGCGGCAAACTACGCCATGTCGAAATGCTTATAGTTTATCATCCAGCAACTCTTCCAACTTGCGATTGCAGCAACTCGTTTTTTATTCGCAGTAACTTGTTTTTTTGTTTTTGTTATGTTTTGACACCAATTAATCTAAAATAGAGAAACTCGTCTAAAATGCAGAAACTCCTTCTATATTATCAGAAACTCGTCTAACTTTCTTTTTTTTTTCTTTTTCAATTCCTGTGTCGATCGATTTTCCCCCCATTTTTTCGGGCGATCGGTACTTCACATCTTTTCCCAGTCCATGCAGTTGGACATACGCAGTCGATTGTCTGTTTTGTTCCTTCTATTTCTTGTATACATGTACCGCCATTTAGACACCATGTTGTGTTAGCAGGGGGGTCACAGACTGTTTAAAGAAGCGAAATGGAGAAAAGAAAAATGAAAAGAATCAGAGAAAAGGAAACTGTTTATGAACAATCGAACGATCCATAATATCAAAGATAAGTAGACCGATGGAGAAAAAGATCAATGGATGGATGAGTGAATTAGTACAAAATAAATTTAAACGGACAAACGAATGAACGAAATGAATGAATGAATGAAAGATCAGTGAACGAATGTATATGTATAGGCTGGTGAATAGGAATAGATGAATGGACAATAAAAAGGGCCTTACTTTTAGTGATTGTTTTCTTCATCGATTTAGAACTAGATTTGTTATGTTCTAATTTTCCATTGCTGCTACCTTGGTGAATGATTTAAAAGAGATTTTACATTTAAGAATTATTATATAAGATAACTCACAAACGAATCAAATTAGTACAGTTCATACCTATGTAGTTTGCCGTGAGACAAATTACCAGGAAAAGTGCTGTAAAAACGTTAACGTGCATCTTTGGGCAGTCTAGTGATAATAAATAAATGTTGATAATTGATTAATGCCAACGCAACCACCGGGGGGAAAAAAGCTTTAGGACCTAATTTCTTTAAGAATAGATTAAATAAATGATATTTTGATYAAAATATCGAGATTGCTAGAAAAAGAATTTGCTTATTTGATTCCAATCTGCTTTCTTGTCACGTGAGTAGTTGTTAAAAATGGCGGCCTATTTACGTCATCATGACCAAAAAATTTTATTTCTTATTTCAAGTAAAGCTCAAATTACTTACTTCATAGAATTTGTTCCTATAAAAAACACTCTTGATTTGCATCGTCTAKTGGTATCGGTAGGTTTTGACACACTAAAAATGCCACCAGGTAGACGTGCGATCACTTAACCCATYATTTATAGATGTAACAGTAAGTTAATTAGTTATGGCACGACACAAGTCGACCTGCTCCGATCACAGGCACCCGTTTTAAAGCAAGTTCAGCTTTGGTTTAAAAATAACTTAATTTGATTGACATTGCGAAACCTTATTGATTATTCGATCATGTCATAAGACCGGGTCGCCCACTGATTCCCACTTGCGATTTTCAACGTTTGCTGGCTAGTYCACAAGTTCGTGATCATTAAGATCAGCATGCATGTCATTCTGAGTCACGTTCATTTTAATTTTAGCGCGCAATTTTAATCAGTTCATTCCGGTAAAGATTTCGTTTGAAATAAAGCCACCTGACGCAAAGAAAATTCTTGGTCAACCTTCCGCAGGTGTGTTCGCGTTTGCGTTGATATTAATTAATTGAATCGAACTCATTTTTCTCTTATAAAACCAGGAATGATTGATGGACGCGAAGGTCTATGAACTCCGGCATCGATTAAAAAAAAAATTAATCAAACTTTCAGCTTTTGAAAGGATGTAAATGAGCTTAATGTATAGCAAAAACGTGCACGACGTCTATAATTTGATTTATCCTTCTAGATTCTGAATTTTGGTAGTTTTTTWTTTTGGAAAATCMGRAACCGCGCATAGCTGGAATGGACTGGACTTCGATTATCTGGATCGTGCGGATCGTAAAAGCAGTTTTTACGCCAAATTTKCAGCTTTTATTCTCYAACTTTTATTTCAATATTCATAACTGGTAATTTTTGACAAAAGTTTTGCAMTAAATCAACATTTAAATTTTTTTWAAATAATAATAATAGTAATAATAAAGAATGTTCTTATACRCATATAAAAAACTCTATGTGTTTACAATAAATATGGATTAWTGTCTAGCCATCGTCTAGCCATCCACCAACAGTCAAACACTTTTATTAGTATTTTTGAGATTTTACCAACATCTTTGGAGTGTGGTGAAGACAATGTTTTCYGAGGTTTTACAGTTTCCACAMGCAATAGTCCCCTTCACAGTTCCCTGCACCATCTTGAAAGGTAGCCATGCCTTTGCATYGAAGCGARACAAACGGTGAGCTTGCAATGATAGAGACCTTTTTTTAACACCTTRGAGAATTATTCACATGTCTCTGTCATTGCAAGCTCACCATTCGTCTCGCTTCRATGCAAAGGCACGGCTACCTTTCAAGATGGYGCCAGGAACTGTGTGAAGGAGACTATCAAACAAATATAATTGAAATATCAAAGAATATCATTGTAATATTATCAAATCAACAATTTTTTTTGCTCATGGTCATTAACACAACTTTCTCATCTTTTCTTTTGCTATTTAATCCATTTTTATTTCWATGCTGCTTTTTACCATATTAAGTATTTGGAGCATAATACTAATGTCTCTATGCTCTTACAATATGAGAAAATACAATAGATAGAAATATAAAACTTTTGTAACAAACTGATTCTAAAATTTTTAAATTAGATTAAATTTTTAATCAAAGCTAGTTAAGAAAAAATCTTATGGAGTTATGTACAATATTATTATTTGAAACTATTTATAGGAAAAGTCAGTCCCTACAGTGTGGGATATATGGGATGTTTGATTATCGAATGAAGCATTATTAGTCTTGTAAAACTACTCATCATGATTACATTATTTCAAGTATTTCTTAGATATAAATATTATTCTGTATAGGGAGGAGGTGGGGTGTTTGGCCTGGCTTCAGGCYCTGCATATGGAGGAGGGGTGGGACCAGGATAGGTTGCATCAGCTGTCGAAGGTTGACTCACAGAATTTCCTGAAAAATGAAGAAATTACTCCTYATAAGTTGAATGGTAAATTACATATGAATAAAAGGGAAGTATCAGCTAGAGGAAGCAAAAGGCTGCTGTGTTCCCCTGGAAGTGTTAAAGGAGTTTTACAAAAAACTTATTTTCAAGTCTTCTTTTTACCCCATATAAATTTTCTTTGATGGCAAGCGATCCATTAAACCCTCTCTTGTGACAAGTCTTTTGGGTTGCTAAGGAGTCACCCTCCCCACCTCARATTAAAGAAACAATTCAGTCAATAACTGTATTAATGTGTCTAAACTTCTAKTGTCCTACAGGTGTCAACACTAATCAAGGACACATAAAACAGCACATAGTCCTGGGGGGTACTCCGCCAGAATTTGGGTAGGGGTGTTCTGCTGGGATTCTGAAAGGGGTACCCTGTTTATGACAAAAAACTCAAATTTGAAGACCCTGTTTATGACAAAAGATATAATTTATTGCACTGAGTTCCTGTTTCAATTATCATGTCATCTCGCGCATTGTTTTTCAATAACCATAATAACCAGTTTCGGTCAATACGAAAGTAGAAACCCTGAATGTGACAGGAAACTCAGGAAGAACTTGGAACTTGAGTGAAATTGCATACCCTGTTCATAATAAGAAGCTCAAAAAACCATACCCTGTTCAGTGGATCAGACCCGTATAGTCCATAATGGGAGTACCCCTCCCCCCCAGAACATAGTGCAGCAATGACAGATAGTGCACACTGTTCTTATAAAACAACTCACCTGATAATGTTGTGGTTGAGGTATTATCATCATCAGTGGACATCCCACAYGCACCAGGTAGTTCGTCTGGTGGAGTTGGCGGACCAGGAAGTATTGGGGTAAAAGATGGTGGCATGAGTACTACAGTGGGTGTTGTTGTTGTGGGTACCTTGTCATCCATATCCAAATCAGATAAATTATATCGTCTTGGATGATCCTCTGGTATATAAWGAATTGAAAAAAATTAAATATTAACTAAATGCAAGGTAATGTTATATTCTGGGGATGTAGTGGGTGGAGAAGTGTGTAGATGGAACATTCAAGGCTTCAGGGCCAATCAAAGGATCTTGTATTCTCATTCATTTCAAACTTCTTCTCAATCATTATCCTTTGTGGAGAGCCATATAAATCAGGATTTATGAAGGCATGGGCCTGCAGCGAGTTGGAGGAGGATTGCTAAAGACGTCTTAAATACTACCCCCCCCCCCCCCCCCAAAAGAAAGAAAAAAAAGAACAAAGAAACGAAAAAAGAATGAGTGTTAAAGAAAAAATGTACTCACAGAAATGACTATTTCGTAATCAGTAAAAGACGTCCATCTTCTCTTCAAATGGGTTCTTGGGTTCCGTACTTCAACAGATATTAACTGCGATTTCAAGAAGTAAAATGATCAAATTTTCCTTTGTTTTAAGACAAACATCATCACGAGATGTCTGTCAAGCATTGTCTCAAAAATCACGCTACGGCCGTGCCTGAACAAACACTACTCTGAATTTATGCAACTGAAAAAATCGGGTTGCCTATAGTAGTCCGTTAAAGAAGTCCAAATAGAACAGCTCAGAGAATGGCCAGACTTTTTTAAGCGCAGAATGCGGAACTGAATATGCCAAGGATAAAAAATCCTGTTGCGAAATGTTTTTAGATAGAAGATAAAGAGATAAGACAAGAAGACATTTTAAAAAGCTGTAGGTATATAGAAGAACAGGAAGAACAA